TTAAGGGTAGATTTTGAAATCTTATGTCACTAGGTTTCTGCCATTTGTTACCTTTGCATCGATTCACGAGTAAGAACTTGCATCTAAAGTCAGCAATTGACCCGTTATACTTAAAATAACATCAAGGAAGAGAGACAGAAAATAAGTGAAAATTGTTAGATATAGATTATAAACTCTAGAAGATGAAAGAAAAATCAAGGGAGAGCCACACTGATCAAGAAAAGCACCCTTAATCAAGTATTAAATAAGTAAAATGTAAATGGTCAGGGAGAAGAACTTCCATGTTAAGAAAAACAAAAACACTTTATCTGAGAAGCACTTTATCAGATAAAGTGCTTCTCAGAGAAGGTCAAGTTAAAGGAGTTCATCATCACTGAGCCCTTATTATACAAAATGTTAAAGGGACTTATCTAAGAAAAAGAAGATAAAAAACATGAACAGTGAAAGAACAGCAAACTCACAGTTATTAACAACCACACTTAAAACAAAAGCAAACTGAGAGGACAACTAGATCAGGAGTAGAACCATAGAAAAGAAGATCACATGGAGGGTTAGCAACAAGGGGGGGGGGGAATGGTGGGGGAGGGGGTGTGCAGGGTGGAGGGGAATGAAGGGGGAAATAGGACAACTGTAATGGCATAATCAAAAATATATATTTTTTAAAAAGAAAAACAAAAACAGAGAAGAAATGGAAGAACAAAATAAACCTGGTGTAGCAATGAGGACAAGAGAGCAGAGTGATTAAAGCTCAAGTTGGTTTTGGGGATAGTGGAAAATGCTACTTTTCCAAAAATGTGGGGCCAGATAATTGGAGGTGTGGAGGGGAACTTAAAGCACTGGTAATAGACAATTAAGGCCTTGCAGAAGAGTGAAGTGATGAGAGAAGTTTTTAAAAATCATGTCTGGGAGAACATTGCAGGATGGACATGAAAGGAAGTCCAAAATAAAATGTAGCTGCTGGGAAGATGCTCATAGCCTAGTGAGCTGAAAGGGTCAAGTTTCTGTCCTAGGGACAGAAGTGTCACTGGGAATTGAGGAAAGGAGGAGTCCGGGAGGAGCTAGCAGGATCTGTTGACAGGATATAAATGCTATAGAAAACAATGTGTCAAAAATGATGGAAGGTGGTGGTGCCAAGGAGTCCAGGGATTGAAGAAGAGAAGCTGAATCAAAGGGCAAGGAGGCTTTGGTACATGTAACATATGAAGAACAAGACATTCCGGTGTGAAATATACAAGAGCATATATGCTATGTGACAGGAGTTCAGAGGAAGGAAAGGATTCAAACTGGAGACTTAAAAGCTCTCCATAAAGGAAAGCTAAAGTCCTAGAATGAGAAAGACAGGAGGAAAGTGCATAAGAGCTCAAAAGTAATGAACAGCCGAAACCTTGAGGCCATTTCAAAACTAGAATTTCACAAGAATATGGGCACAATGAAAGGAACAGGAGCAATCAGTGTGGGAAAAAACTCAGGATCCAATAGTGTCACAGAAAACATGAAAGGAGTTTTAGAAAGGACTTAATGATAGATGATGGATGACAGACAAGGGTGAGAGCATGTAAAAGATACCATTATGCTACTACAAATGAGCAGGGGTTTTCCCTCTCTCAACTACTGACATAGTATATAAAAATTATTTAACTGGGCCCTGGCCGGTGTGGCTCAGTGGTTGAGAGCCACGAGCCTGTGAATCAAAGGGTCACTGGTTCGATTCCCAGCCTAGGGCACATGCCTGGGTTGTGCCCTAGTCCCCAGTAGGGCCAAATCCCCAATAGGGGGCATGAGAGAGGCAACCACACATAGATGTTTCTCTTCCTCTCTCTCCCTTCCCCCTCTCTAAAAAACAAAATAAATAAAATATTTCAAAATAATGAAATAAAATAATTTATTTGGTGAGTGTGCAGAAAAAGAGATTTTGTGGCTTTGGGATATACTCTGTTTTATGTATCTTAATGGCAAAAAGGAGTTATATTAAGATGTTGCTATTCTGAGTGCAATCAAAGATATACAAAATGAAAGATAATTCTGCTGATAAGGAATTGATTTTTTTTAAAGATTTTATTTATTTATCTTTAGAGGAGAAGGGAAGGAGAGAGGGAGAGAAACATCAATGTATGGTTGCCTTTCATGCATCCCCTGCTGGGAACTGGCCTGCAGGGAACTGGCCTGCAACCCGGGTATGTGCCCTGACTGGGAATCGAACCGCGATTGTCTGGTTCGCAGGCCCGCGCTCAATCCACTGAGCTACACCAGCCAGGGCTAGGAATTGATTTTTGAGGAATGTCATTTAGAATTTGTACTCTTCTGGAAGCTATTTTGTTGTATAATAGGAGTAGTACTGCAGATGATACATATTGGTCATATATTTGAAGTGTGCTGGTAACACAGTAAAATGTACAAGTCCTGCCAAAAGTTATAAGAAATATCCAAAATATTTACAATTGATGGAGGGACTATTAAGTCACTCATGGGATACTGCTAAACACACACAAAATTATGTGTTTGAGTTCTCAAGAACCCTTAGGAAGTAATGCCTTTCTCATTTGCTAATGAAACACCCACTCTGTGTGCAAGGTTCATCCAGAGCCAGACTTGCATCTATGAACCATCTGGGAAGGCACTACAGTCATGAGGCAGTGTTTCTGTTTAGTTTTGCTGTTAAAATCACACAAATCTGATGGATAGAGATAATATGACAGAAAGCCCAGTGTCTTTTTCATTGTCACTGATGTACTGGAAACTGGCTTTTGGAATAGGATTGAACCCCTGTGCAAGAAATTCTCTTTTCTTCCTCCAAACAGAAATAAAAAAATTAATAATTAATAGCAACCATGGACAAATCAAGGTTTTGAGGGGCCTGAAGCTCACAGAATTTGGGCGCTCTCCTTAAGAAAAAATAATGCAAAATTACAAATACAAGATTAAATATGAAGCTGGTTATTTATTTAGAATGAGAACAAAAAGGGACCTGCATTTGTAAGGTCATAAAGCACAAGGGTCATCAGCTGCATGGTAAATCCATGTATGGAAAGGGAGAAAGAACAAGTAATTAGGCAGAGGAAAAATTAAAGACAAAATGCTCCTGAAGAAATATGGGAACACAGAACAAGCAAAATGCAAGAATAATATCCCAGAAAGAACCCTGAATTGTGAAATATGGATAGTATGGACATGGGAGAGGAGACAGTAATCCTAATCAATTTACACAACACGTCATCATATTTATTCTCCAGTGATCAAACATCATATTGCTTTTAGGTTTTTGGAAATATCAGTCCACTTCATTGCAGGCACTTCAGTGAGTAAATTAATGAATAAATTAATGAAAGCAAGGGAAATACTTTTTTTTTTTACTGTCCACCAGGATCTATTTTCCTCTGATGTTCCAACATACACACATGTTTTTGCTGGTGCTGGCTGGAGTTGTCAAAGCAGCAGCTTATGCTCATCATTTCTCTGTAATTAAGACTGTTTATCCTCAACAGGCCAAGTAAAAAACTATGTTCACACAAAATTAATTTGTAAACATGTTCAGAGTCTTCTCAAAAGGATTATACATAAAAATGGCTACTGTGGGGCCCCCCTAATTACTCCCTTCTTGCCTTTCTCCTTCTTTCTAAATCAGATCCTGGAAGTATACTTCAGAAATTATTAACTCCCTCCTGGGTTGTGGACAGATTAGTGTGGGATTCCAGCTAGGACTAAAACACAATTTGTAAATTTCAAACATTTATATTAATCATGATAACATAAGTGACAATTTAATATATCAGTCATGATGAAGTTTCCAGGAAGATCCTGAAAAGCCTCATCTACCACTCCATTGGTCAGCCACAAACCCAAGCCAGGACCAGTGCAACCTAGGCTCACCAGGACATAATTTGGGGCGGGAGGAGGAGGTCTTATTGAAGAACACAACAAGGCATGCCCTAATCTGATCTTGACTCCAGCTTCACATATGGATTCCCTTTGGGCAATAAAATGCCCTACATCTTCCTTTAAGTTATAAAAAAGTGGTGAGGATGTGTTAAAACTAAAAGCCCACCCCTCTCTCTTTTTCTTTTTGTACTGTTCTTTTTTATTGTGGTAACATAAGTTAATAATATTATATGTTTCAGCTTAATTATATTATGTGTTATAATGTTATGTATAAAATATTATATTATAGATAATACTATATGTATATATACCATTATATGTAATATAATTATATTATATATTATAATATAATATAAATATATTATAATAATATTATATTACATATAATATATTATTATACTATAACAATCTTATAATGTCATATTATAATTTGATATCTATATACACTATATTGTGCTCACCACCAAAATTCTAGTTTCCATTTGTCACCGTATATTTGAACCTTTTCCCTTATCAAGTCTTCCTTCTTCATCTTCACTTACATATTTTCTAAGGAAAGGCACTTTAAAAAGAGCAGGACTGGAATAATACTGTTAGTACATAAATACTACATAAATCCACATACTGATGTCGTTTGCTTTTTTAGGGCAAAGGGCTTGAAATCAGTGAAGCAAAGCAGCCAACTCAGGAATTAGAAGTGAGAATCTTAAATAGGAGAAAATCATTTAGACACTTTCCAGCTAGGTGATTTGACTTGAAATGCTCCAGACCTCAGTTTCTCGGTTTTGTAAAATGGAGGCGAATATATTACCCACCTGTCAGGATTGCTGAGGATGGAGAAAATACACATGAAGTGCTAAATATAACTGCACAGCAACAGCTAATTAAATGTTAGTATTTAATAGTAGTAATAAAGTACTGTTCGTGCCTCTCTCAGTTCACACCATCAGCAACACTGGCACAAACCCCATTCCTGCCCCGCCTTGGCCGGGGGAGGAGAAGCTACTGTTGCACTCTCGAATGCAGGAGGGAGACCATCCCCTTCCCCAAACGTCCGGGCGCTACTACAAATCTACTCTCGGGCCACCAGGGCCCCTCCGGCTCCCGCTGTGGTTCACACTTACCTGATATGCCACCGCCTATCACGACTACGTCGAACACGTTGCCCGAAACGCTTGCCTTCTCCCGACTCGCCATGTCTAGGTTGACAGTCTCCCCGGGCGCGAGTGTACAAGTGAGGCTTGCCAAGGGCGTTGCGGACTTTTCTACTGACTCTCCCGGGGAGCTCCGGGGCGGAGCTGATTCTTCCCAGGATTGCCTGGTGGAGCCCCGCCCTGAGGGCGGAGCAGATACTTGTGTTAATACCCCGGGAGAGTCCTGGGGAGAATCCGATCCATCCACCAGCATTTGACCCGTATCTGGTCCTGAGCGTTGGGTGGACATTCGTGCCAATATTAGGGGGGAGTTCACCGATGTAAGAGGTTTTTGTTCGGAACGCAGGAGGAGGCGGGACCCTGAGGGCGGGCCAGGGTCTTGTACCAACCCTCGGGAAGAGTGATAGACCGTGACAGTTTCTTGTATGGAACTCTGTGGGATGTTGAGTTCTGAGACCGAGGGGGACCCCTGAATGGACTCTAGCGAGGAGCCTAAGAGCAGGACCCGTTCTTGTACCGAACTGCGTGGAGTGCTGAGCACTGAGGATGGGGCAAGGGCCTGAATAGACGCTCTGGAGGAGTCTGAGAATGGGAAAGATCTACATATAGATTCTTGGGAGGAGCGGGTTACTGAGGACTGGATGGACTCCGATAATGACACCCGGGGCGTGTTATTTGGTGTCAGAGGTACTTCCACTGAATCCCGGGAGGAGCTGAACAATGAGGAACGGGTGTAGCCAGGTAGTAATATTTCGGGAGTGTTACTGCGTATGGGAGGTATTGGTGATACCCGCAATAAGCCAGGCATGAAGGGCTGGATGGCTCCTGGTCCAGATCCTTGGGGAGTGTTACTGATCGTAGGAAGTTCAGGTACTGACACCCAGAGGTTGTCCGCGCCCAGGATGGAGTTGGGGGCAACCCCCTCAGAGCTGCTGGAGCGGGTGCCCAACAGGGGTGTCTGATTGGTCAGGCCATAAGCGGGAAAGCTCCAAAGGCCGATGTTAGAGTCAGTATCAGTTCTTAGGGCAGTACTGGGACTGAGTTGGGAAGGCGTGCTGGAGCTCCAGGAATCGTCCGCATCTGGTGTATAAGTGTTAGACTGGTTGCTAGTAGACAAATAAGAAATGGTCCGCCACTCAGATTGCGTACTGGACCCGGATGTGGAGGCCAGGGCCGGGATCTGGTCTGCGACGGTCCCAACTACGGGCGCAGTTTCTGCCTCTGGCCCACTCCCGCTGCCACCGTCCATTGAGCTCAAAGTCCTGGTGCCGCCTGGAGGTTTACCTTTTGCTCTCCTTTGCCCCTCCCCTACGGACGACGGCCTCTCAGACATCCTCAGAGCCCTGACCCGGGAACAGCACACGGTGTTAAGGCCTGGCTCCGCCTACTCCAAAAGCTCCTGTCTGGGGCGTTGGGCAACGGCATTCTGACTGGTCACGGGGCTGGGCGAAGCCACTGAGGTGGGTGGGTGGCTGAGTTAGATTGTGGGCGTGTCTGGGTAGGAGTTTTAACCTAGTGCTTTTATTCGTACTATTTAACTAAAGGAGCCTGGACCAGGGTAGGCTTAAAGAATTGGGTACTTTAAAAAAGTGAATTTAGAACATAGAGTAGCAGGTCTGCCTCTACACTTGGTTTAGCTCATTTTTGACGTCACAAAGGGCCAGGCGAGGGCTGCGCAGCTGCGCACCTAGCTAGAGAGGGGACCGGGTGAAGTGGTAACTATCATTTGGAGGAGACTTGGCAATTGTTGGTTTTCCATGACTTTTTTCAAGTGAAGTGCTTAACCAAAAATTGAAGCAAGTAGGCGAGAAAATTAACACCTCAGCTCTCACAGATTAAGTGGGATCTGCGCTTTAAAAGTGAAGGTTAAGGAATGGCTAAAGTGCAAGAACAAAACAAAAAACTACGTGTTTCCCCATCCTAGTGAAAAGAGGAATATTTAATGTACATACTTTACTGTACAGCAAGCCTCTTGTCTTGCTACTTTTTTATTCCTTAACTTTTCTGCTTTTTTTCCCATTAGAGGTGCATTTGCCATCACTGAACCCTCAAAAATAGATGTAATTATGACATGAATTCAAAGTAAATAATGAGAACTCTAGGACGTTAACTACAATCTGTTCCCACCTATAAACATATCTTCCACTCACCCTTCATCCCATTCTGTATCAAATATTTTGTTGAAGAAACTGTAAGAAATGAAGATTTAGTCTTCATCCAGTTTCAATAGCTCTTATCTAGAAAAGGATTAGAAACTTATGGCTAAATAGGTGTCATTTTTATCTTGTTAGACATTGAAGCAGAACAAGAAGTAATAATAGATATTTAGAATGCAGCTCTTTCAAATATGATCCTACCCAAACTTCTTTATCCTGTTGTTTTGATTCACATATTTTATTTCATATATGTGCTAGGTGCAGGGCAAGGTACAGAGGACACAGAGGTGACACAAGGCAGTTGGAGATGTTCATTGATCATACACTAGAGGAGCTAGTAGAGAAGATGGACAGCCACAAGCCTGATTGTCAACCCAGACCCTAATCAATGTTGTATTGCAACTGTCCATAGCAATAAGAAAGAGTTAGAAAGGTTAACTTTCGGAGGAAGGGTATCAGAATGAATCCAGAAAGAGGGAACAATTTGGACAAAGGCATGGTACAAGCATTTGTAGAAGCATTGTTCGCTGGAGTAGCTGAAAGTCAGCCAATGGAGTTAGAGTGAGGGGAGAAAACAGAGACAAAAATACTGACATCCACTGAGCCATAGCACAATCTCTGTGTATATTCCAAAGCAATGTAAGCCACTGCAAGATTTTAAGCAGAAAGCAAGATAATTAGATTGTATTTAGCAAAGGTCTGTGTGCCTGCCTTGTGAATAATGGGTTGAAGAGGACAGGCATAAATACAGGGAAACCAGATTTTGGAATTCTTCAAAAAATAGGTGATGGTATCTTGGACTAAAGTGGGGAACAACAGTGGAACTGGAGAGATAAATACATAGTAGATAGACTTGTCACTAGGATTAGGAAGATATTGAGCATGTTTTTGGACATGTGTTTCAAGTGCTTTTGAGGCATCCACGTGAAGGTATAAAGTAAGCCTGAGATTCAAAACAGGAATTTGACTAGAGATAAAAATATGGAAGTCTTATTAAATAAATGATGGGTGGAATAGATGGATAGAAATATGAGTATTTTCTCTATTCATTTTATTATTTGTATTGTATATTTCATATGACTTTTATAATAAAAAGAATAAAAGTTATTTAAAAATACATAAATGAAGCAATAATTGTTACATGTTGTACAAGTATTATTTCCTCCCTAGTGTGATCTGTGACAAATTATTTAACTTCTCTGTGCCTGTTTCCTCACCATACAGTCCCATAAATTCTATCAGTTCCAGCAGGAAACAGCAAACTCTACATTATTTAAAGAGAGTTATCATAAAGAAAGTATATTAAAAGATATGGGCAAAATTGAGAAAAACCAAAAGGAATCATATGTTACCAGACCGGTGACAGCAAGAAACCATTACTATAGGAGAGAGCAATAATAGAACCTGGCAACAGAGATTTTTGGAAAGGGTTGCAGGGCTGCTGACTCAAGGTATGGCTTTTAGTTCAGAGGGGCAGTCAGCTCACAGGAAATCCTCAAAGTGGGAGCCAGGTCAAGTAAATATCCAATATCTCTCTCCTCCCTCCCCTCCTCCAATTTCTGGCTGGTCCTTTCCATTGACCTAACCTAATCAGAAGCTAGAAGGCAAGGGAAGCTGTTCATGCCGTCCTTATAGGTCAAGCATCAGGGGACAGAACAGGCTAGAGAAGAGCGTGGGTGCACCAGGAAGAGCCAAGGAAATATATCCAGTACCATTGTAGTGAGGTTTCAATGAGCAAATGAATATGAAATACTCAGATAATTACACAATACATACGTTTTTCAGTTCTAAAAATTGGCTCACTTTCAGCTACTCCAGCGAACAATGCCTCTACAAATGCTTGTACCATGCCTTTGTCCACATTGTTCCCTCTTTCTGGATTCATTTTGATACCCTTCCTCCGAAAGTTAACCTCCCTAACTCTTTCTTATTACTAATATATTCATGTCATAGGCTACTATTTACTTAACCATTATCTTCTAACATTAATATACTTTCCTTTTTTATGTGATATAGCATGGGAGGAACATTTTCATGCATAAAACATTGTCAGTATTTGTCAGTTTCTTTGAAGTAGAGTCCTAAAAAGAGAATCATGGGGTAAGAAAGTAGAAGCATTTTAAAACTTTTTCTTAAATTTTATTTATTTATTTATTTATTTATTTATTTATTTAAATTTTATTGTTATTTTTCAAGTACAGTTTTTTGTCTATTTCTCCCATCCCAGCCCCCCCCCCCGCCTCATGCTCCCCACCTCCCTCCCATTTCCTCCCCCAGTCCTTGTCCCTGTGTCCTTCATACTTGTTCCTCCAAATCCCTCCCTTTTTTCCCCCCTTAAATTCCCTTCCCTCTCCCCTCTGGTCACTGTCCCCTTGTTCTCTATTTCAGTGTCTTTGTTTTTATTCTGCTTGCTTGTTTCGTTGTTTAGCTTCCTGTTAAAGGTGAGATCATATGGTATTTGTCTTTTACCACCTGGCCTATTTCACTCAGCATAATACTCTGCAGTTCCATCCATGTTGTTGCAAAGGGTAGGAGCTCCTTCTTTCTTTCTGCTGTGTAGTATTCCATTGTATAAGTATGCTTCAGTTTTTTTTTTAATTTTTCAACAGTTTTTTAAATTTAATTGTTGTTCAAGTACAGTTTTCTGTCTTTTACTCACATCCCAGCCCACCCCCCAGTGCTCCCCACCTCCCTCCCATTTCCACTCCCCTTAGTTTCTGTCCATGTGTCCTTTATACTTGTTCCTGTAACTCCTTCCCCTTTTCCCCCTGAAATTTCATTCCCTCTCCCTTATGGTCCCTGTCAGCCTGTTCTCTATTTCAGTGTCTTTGGTTATATTTTGCTTGTTTGTTTGTTTTGTTGTTTAGGTTCCTGTTAAAGGTGAGATAATATGGTATTTGTCTTTCACTGCCTGGCTTATTTCACTCAGCATAATGCTTTCCAGTTCCATCCATGCCGTTGCAAAGGGTAGGAGCTCCTTCTTTCTT